CCTCCCTTTGGCTAAACGGGCCCCGGCCACGCATATCCCGAATATCTTCATTGAATCTAATTTTGTAACCAATTAAAACTTTTTTTTTACATATTTTAGAAATATGAAAATAACAAATATAAGAAAAATTCTGTAACAAAGAAAATAGTTTTTGTTCGAATCCTACACCGAGTAACATTTATATTGCGTCACAAAGAAATATATGCTCTCCTTCGTGCGAAATGCGTAAATTATTCGATATTACGCATTGAAAAATGTATTTGAATATACTGTCTTTTCATGGGAAAAGAAATATAAAAAATAAAAAAAACATACAAGAAACGAAATGTGAAATACTTTACTTGAATTCTTTAATTATTGTTCGAATGTTGATAATAACCAAAAATTGATAAGATAATAGATAGATAGAGAGTTTAAGTAAGACTATGAAGATAAATAGATAGATAGTAAGAAATACAAAAATCAAATCTAAGGTAGGATTGTGCGCAGTTTATCAGTAGAAAGAGTCTTGCGGAACTTTTGCATAAATAGAAAAAAATTAATGATTATTGAGTATTTTTTGAAAATTAAAAACTGAAATGTTTGAAAGCTTTTTTGAAAATCCGCGAAAGAAACCCGAATCCGCCAAAGTGTACTGATATACATTACGTTGCAAGGGACAGGGGTCTCGGCCGAGCCTAGTTTAAGTTAAGCCTAGACCACAGAGCTGTGAACAGCGAAGAAGAAGCAGAAGAGAAAAAAGATAATAAGGAAGGAAGGAAGGAAGGAGGTCTGAGAGAAGAACCTAGAGATTATCTTCTTCCTAGGCGCTCTTTTCAGACCCAAGGTGCATTTTTTAAAGCTTGCCATCCTTTCTTTCCTTCAATTTGTGAAACTGCGCAGTTACTTTCAGTTTCATTGTCAGCTGATTTTGACATAATTGGAAACAAAGAGAACTGGTTAAAAACTGCATGAACGACATTTTTGCATTGTTTCCTGCACTATAAATGCAATTAACTAAAATTAGTGACACAGAAGTTTAATAAATTCTTGTTATAACATTGAAAATCAAAACATAGTTTCTTCTTTAAAACCATAACAATGATCTTTACAATAAATAATTGATAGTTTTATATGTTGATTTTATATTTTTTGTAAAATTTTGTTTAATTATCAGTTTTCCATTCATCCATTTTCATAAATGTTTGAAGTTTATTGTAGAGAAGTATGAATAAGAGATAGACAGAGAAACAGTTAGTGAGAGAAGTCTCCATTATAAGCCCAGCTATGTGGCGTGTTGCAGCCAATAGGAAGGCAGGCCTGCAAATCTAGGATATTTAGTCACGTGATCCTATCCACCAATAGCAGGCCAGACTTAGTCACATGACCTCAAGAGCCAATAAAAGCCCAGGCCCTTCAATGATCAATTATTGAAGGTCTTTCTAGTTAGAATTAAGCCTATATTATGTAATGAAAATAATTTTGTAACAAAATGCCCTAAATTCCTTATGTTACTCTATCCTGAAGTTTTGCATCTATATTCTGAATGATGAACACTAAACATTTTGAAATGTGTCCTCTTTTAGAGTGACCTTGACTGTTGCCTGCCAGGCTTTGATTAATGATTTACAGTTACGATCACATATATGAGATACCAATTTGATTGGGGGGGGGGGGGTTAAATAAAACTTTATGCTCTTCAGATTCCAAAAAAAAGATGCTCCTGACAAAAAAAAACGTACGTCCACTCCCCGTTCACAAATATTATATTATTCCCACTTTGTTTTATTTGTTGAATTGGGAAAAATATATGGATTAAAGGGGAAATGAATGAATTGTTAGACAATTAAAATATCATACAGAGGATAAATAACTTGACATGCACAATATAAATTAAGTTATGAATAGTATTTATTCAAGAATTAAAAGCCAAGGATGAATAATAATTAAGAATTTAGCAGGTTTCTAAGAATTTATGGACATGTTATTTTAAGATTGAAAGTTGCAGGAACATGCATGTTTTACAGTAAATCTTAATAGAACTCGAGTTTGTTGAATTTAATAGATGATTTAATTGTTTGTCATATCATGTTTTATATCTTCACAACTTTTAAAGCTATACAAATGGAATTGATATCTTGGTTCTACATGGTAAAAAGGAACGTTTTAAGCATAAGTATAAACTATTTTTCAGCAAAAATGTATCAGAGGCATGTTAATTTTGTAAATATTCTGAAATTTGAAACAATTTTTGATGACTTGAAATTTAAGCATCTTGATTTTATTTGATAATTTGATATTTCAGTATGGAGATGCTACTAGCTGAACAGGCTGCCCTTGAACTGGGTAGTGTGGATACAAACCAGCTTCTAACTCTTCTAGAGTGTCCAGTCTGTCTTGATCATATAACACCACCAGTCAAACAATGCATTAAGGTCAGTAAATCAAGCTGAGGTAAATTAAGATCAGTATTTCAAGTTAGGGTCATTTAAGGTCAGTATTTCCAGCTAAGGTCAACTATGGTCAGTACTTAAGCTAAGATCATTAAAGGTTAATATTTAAAGCAAAGGTCATGTAAGGTCAGTATTTAAAGCTAAGGTCAGTTAAAGGTCATTATTTCAAGTTAAGATAATTTAAGGTCAGTATATCAAGCTGAGGTCACTTAAGGTCATTATTTCAAGTTAAGGTAATTTAAGTTCAGTATATCAAGCTGAGGTCAGTATTTCAAGCTAAGACCAATTTAGGTCGATATTTCAAGGAATTGTTCATGTATTTTTAAGATAAAAGATTGACACATTAAAGTAAATGTCCAAAACTGTATAGAAAGTCAACCTTTGTTTTACATTGGTTACCTTAACATTTCTAAGAGCAAGATACGTCTGTTAATATCAAGTTATAATTTTGAATAGTCTAAAACATTAAACACAGCAATTGTGCAGTGAACACAGACTCATTCTATAAAATATGTTGATTTCATTTAAGTCAACATGAATAACTATTTTCCAGATATAACAACATCAAATACATATAACATGGCTCAAATGTCGTACTCCAATTCCACAGTTCACAGTTGTACAGGTCCCTCCGTAGTACTATTTATTCATAGATTCTGTTTTAAGAAATACCATATAATTTCAGTTAACGGTCACGTACCATTCCTATTTTTACTTTATTAAGAAAGCTAGAATGATTTTTAAATCACTTGAGGAAAGTTTGTTAATCTTTTCTGTGTACTTCTTTCTAAAAAATAATTATTCTTTCCCCCAAGAATAATTTTTTTCCAATAGCCCCAACTACAGCCGTGAAAATCTAGAAAATAGGTTATACTTCACAAACCTTCTTAAATTTAGGAAAATTACAACTAAACGCCTGAACTGATTCCAACTAAATGCCTGAACTGATTCCAACTAAACGTCTGAGCTGTTCTTTAAAACTTTGATAATCTTGTTGACTGATTTAATAATTATATTTAGGGTCATCTGGTGTGTAGTGACTGCTTCCCCCGTCTCCCCCACTGCCCCACCTGCAGGTCCCCAATGTCCTCAGAGAGGAACCTGGGGATGGAACAGGTCTCCAGGCTACTGAATTTCCCCTGCAGGTTCATTATTACATCTTAAGTTTTATTACTAATTATTTGTATTTTTCATCCAATTTGCCGAACACCTAGATAGTAAAATATTCTCTGTTTAGATATCATCCAATGGGATGTAAGGTATCTGCTCCATTAGCTCAGAAAGGCGACCATGAGCGTAGCTGTGAGTATCTTCAGCTTAAATGTCCTTTCCATGGACAATGTAGTTTCAGTGGAGCTCTTACTATGGTTGTTCCACATCTAAAGGCAAGTTTAGCTTTAATTTGTTTCTTAATAAAAATATAAAATTTTTGTACAGCTTTAAAAATCTTAACAGAACAATTTGCCTAACGGATGGTGGAGGGGTGGTTTTGTACTACACATTACATATTCTCCTCCCTGTATGTTATTTATTGTATATTTTCCAGGCTGAGCACGCAGTAACCCCTGTTCCTGTACAACCCAACGGTACACTTTTCTACCGAGCAAAACAGTTCTACAAGCGCAACCTCTGGGCATTCATCTACGAGTGGGAAAAGAACCTATTCAGGTTTATGGTCAAGCACATTCATGCTTCCACTGTTGGACGAGCAGACAACTGCAATCTAGTGATAGCTCATGTACAGTATATTGGACCTGATAGTATGGCAGCCCAGTATGCATACCAGATCTCCTTGTTTGATTGTGACAATCGCAAGAACGGACCAAAGTTTGAGGGTATTGTATCCAGCACTATGAAACCTCTTGAGAGCCAGGTTACGAAAGAGGAGGTGTTTGTTGCCACCACATATACTGCTCGTGATTTTACAGATACCTTCGGACAACTTAATTTCATCATTCAGATGAGATCCTTTAAGGAGAAGGATGGATCCAGGTCTAAGGATTCTGAGTCCAGGCGGCATCGATCAAGAACATCTGCCAATCCTCAACCTGGACCTTCAGGTACTCAGCGCATTACACCCACTACATCCAGCACATCTGCAGTCTCCTCATCAACATTGTCCTCCAGTACACCTTCAACCTCTAGTACATCCTCAACAGCCTCTATTACTCCCTTAAACACCTCCAGTACACCTTCATCCATCCCTTCTGTATCCAGTACAGCCCCCTCTAGTTCCGTTCCTCCTGTAGAAGGAGGCCCAGCTGCCTCTAGTATCTAGTACTTTAACCTAGTTTCTATATTGGCTGTTACGCAGTAGTAGTTTATTGCATGGTTTCCCTACCATACTGTACTGTACTGTACTCTTCTGTACTGTACTGTAAAAACATCCTTGTACAGAGGTTTGCTTGGCCCAGTGATATGCTAGTGAGATGTTTTCTTTTTACAACCCGCGGTCTTAAAATTGGAGTGGGGTTGTGTCAGGGGAGTTAACACTGCACTGCAATATTAAACGATAAGTATCAAAATAACTAAATTCATTCTTCATAGTAGTATTATCAGTTGCAAGAGCAACACTTTTTTAAAAATACAAATGTGCAAATATCTTTTTTGAATTTATTTGAAGGTGTTGGATTGATGGTAACTTGGGTTGAGGTGTTAAGCTAAAATAAATGCTATTAGTTCACCATACTTGCGTTATTGCACATGGAAGCTAGTAGTATTATCCCTGGAACACTTGGGGCAGGGGAATATTACTTCCTGTCTCTATTCCATCTTGTTCATAGAAGTCTTATTTTATCCTTTTAATATTCCACGAGCCAAACTAGTTTCCATATTTTCTCATTTCATTTTTTCCCTTTATTTGATTATTTTCTTCCCTTTTATCTTCCCTTTGCCCTTGTAGGCCCGGGTTGCACAAACACCTTTACTATAAGTTGACCCGCGAGCTAGCTTGAGCGCAGAGTACGGGGGGCTTGAAGTCTATATACCTGGTACGTATTCATCAATCAAACAACTTGGTTGTATCCAAAATTTGCGTTTGCGCGCACTCAGCATATTTAAATTTTGTTTTGGACCTTCCAACTAGTTAGTTTATACTGTATCATCAGTGAACAACTAGCTAATTTTAATCATAACAATTCAATTCAATATGCTTTACTTTCAACTTTTAGGATTTGGGGAATTTTAATTTCAGCTGGCGTGTGCGTGTGTGTTACGTCGCGTAGGGCGATGATTAGGTTGCTTTTAACACGCAGGAAGCAAGGTAGGGTTCAAGTAGGGTTTCCAGTTATTCTTTGCGCAAAGATTGCACATTGCGCAGATCTGTAAACATTCTGTGTCAAGTTTTCATTCATTGTAGTACTTGGTTAGATGCATTCATTTTAAACAATTCAAACTGTTCAATCTTTTGCGCTCGGAAACCCTAGTCACCACACTCAAATTTCTGTCTTAACCATTTTTAATATAAATATGCATAATAATAATAATAGGGTCCATATTCACATAGCTCTATTATCCATTTTATTTGTGTCGGCCATAATCTATCAATTTCGTCTTACTCATGATACTAAATTATTTCCTAGTCATCAATTCATTCATTCATAATTGATTCATCCTGTTATATATATATATAGATATTTTTGGTTTTCTTTCCGCCTGTTACTTTAAGTTTTTTTAAATATGTTTTTGATCTTACAATTTTATTTTCTTAAAAAAATAAATGCTGGTGTAGTTAATGGTCTAGGTTTGATAAGCTCCTAATTTGGCAGATTTTTATAAATAAATAAAGGAGTGGTTTACTTATACTGGTATTTTTGTCATATTTTAAACTCGCGCTGTAGACCTCTTGGGAATAATTATCTGTTAAATTGGAGGAATTTTTCAAAAACATATTGTTGATAATGTTCATCTTTCCTAGACCTAGTTTCCAGCACCTTCAAGTTTAATCTAATCTTTATCTTGTCTTCTATATGTTCAGGTCACTTTCTACAAATTAAATACGAAGCAGTGTAAATTCATGTTTTACAGAATACAATTGTGATTATAAAATAATAATATGATATATATAATATTTATATGAAACCTGTGTTGTTTCTACATTCTAAGATTTGCTTGAAATAAATGTATTTATATTAAACTGTTGATTATTTGTCTGATATGAAAACAGAACTGTGCGGAGTTGTTGATCCTGAACCCTTATACACTCGAGATATGCAGGGTGAGTAAAAATACGGGAATATCGGACAACAAATTCCAAATTTTTGTATTGTTTCTGAATAATAAAATGTGATAAAAATACTTAAAATATATTTGTTGCCGTTAAACACAAAATCCGCGAAATCCTTTTTTTTAATAAGGAACAAAATAACTTGTTATTATTTCTCATTAACTTTTTTATGAAATTTTGGAGAAAAAACTGATAAAATAAACAATTTTTCAAAAATTATAAATGTCTGCATCTCTTGAAGTCATGTGAATTGGCCCAAAAATGGAATGCTGAAAGATAGTAGCAGCATATTTCCCCGCTCCAGCATGTTCAATGGAGACTGGTGCTATAATCACTCGTATTATATTAAGTAATGATTTTATACCTTTTTTACAAGAAATCTACGAAAATGAAAAGCTATCGATCAAGTTAAAATAGAAAGCCCTGACTCAGCCTATAGTATTTTTATAGATTTAGAAGCAACTCTGTAAATTGTCTTTTGCTTGTTTTTTTTACCGAAATGTTAAAGAACGTATTATATTGATGTGTTTAATTTTCATTTGGAAATATGGAACTGCACTGAACATTAAACAATACAAATATATTCCCTTGATAAATCCTATGAAATGATAAGACAAAATAAATTATAAATGAATTTAAATATAATTAAAATAGCAGATAGGAGCAGATAGGACACTAAATGTCGTCTTTTTAAGATTTGGATGAAACTCGTCCTCAAAATCACATTATAACCCTGAGGCAGAAGCCCACAGGAGTTTCGCGCAGTCGGCGTAGAATTACAAGACAGATAGAGCCAAAGACTCATGACTTTAAAGGAACTGTAATGGAGAGACTTAAAGAATCTTGTACGAAATCTCACATGTAAGTTTTCGTATGGTTTTGACACAGTTTTATATCAATTTCTAGAGATAGGAACATCAAATAGAACTCTTAAATGTCTCGATCAACTCCTGAAGTTCTTAGATTTCAGCCTAAACTCTCCCTTTCATTTTTCTTTTACAGTCCCTTTAAATAGTCCAATATAACATATTTGCACTGTGCAGTGTAAATTGACCAATTTTATTGAATACATGATTTAATAAGTCACAAGTATAAACTATTTGATCTTAGTAACAACATCAAATACACTCATTTAATGCCTGAATGTCGTCTTTCTATAACAAAATTTTCTGGTTCTCACGGCAGTATATAAAGTGAGAAAAAACAACTTGACCTTTCTACTGCACGACATTAAAAACGACGACATACAACAAAGAATCAGTTTGTATACATGGGAGTCCCAATAAACATGGGAATAGAGTTCAGTCAAATTTGAGATCGTCTTTGTAGAGAATTAGCATTGTAATACCTGGTTTCAAAGGCCATATTATTATTATGTCTGCTATAGTTTATTTTATGAAAATGGTAAATGCAGGCTTTTAAGAACACTTTGATTTTCTCTGCAAGATGAACATCGTTTTTTTTTACTGTGATTTTCTTGTTTAACCAAGTACAATTGCAGCATACAGTCAAAACATAAACAGACAAATGCTGACGTACTTTTTTACTTTTTTAAAAATCTCCCTTGCACCCTAACCATCATATAAGATATTACAGATAGTAATGTGCAGGCCTTGAAAAGTTGGACTAGGGACATGTATCACAGTTCCACTATTTCAAATCTGAAGACAAAATCAAAGGGGGGGAGGGAGTGGGGTAAAAAACACCCCTCTGTTTATATTAGACAAAAATAGTCCAATCGGGATAGGGAATTCAGTCAAATTATTTCTTTGGGATTATTAGAATTTATCATTGATCAAATTTCTGAACAATCCCGTAAATATTTATAATTATGATTTATATGTTTCGTGCGATATTTCCCACATGTGTGTCACATCTGATAAAATTTAGTAAAATTCATAATTTTAATAATTTTCACTTTTAAAAATGCATTTTTTCATTTATTCGGCTAACAAAAAAAGACCGTCAGAAATTCTAAGTATTTTGATTTTTTTGTTTTACTTTTGAAAAATTTAAGACTTAACATGTAAGACGTAAAACAATGAGCTCACAACTACGCCAGTTGAATACTATTTCTTAGAGGATCAAGAGACATGAAGGGTAGTGTTGGTACAGTACATGTACTTTGTACAGTACTTCTGTATACTGTACAACAAGCAAGTGCTAAGGTGCAGTACTCTCTATAAAATTAAAATATTTCGTTTCGACTAGGGCTGGGCACGTTACAACTATTTATAGCCGTTTCGTTAATGGTTAGTTCCAACCGCTAAAAAAGAAAAATTCAGGTAGCCGTTAGTTTCAAAGATAAGAATGGAGCGTTCGTTTCGTTAAAAGTATTTTCCTTTTTTAAGTTACCGTTATTTTATTAACGGCGTTATCGGGAGATAGTCTGCGGTTAACGTTTTTTTGGAATTAACGACATTAGCCCTTTATAAAGTGCCGTCACCAAATTGCAAAAAAATCCATCATATAAACATGGGGGGGTACTTAAAATATNAATACATTTAAAATTTTTTGTTGTTGCAAGTTTCATGCAATTTAAACCGAAAAAAAAGAATATAAGTTGTCGTTTTTTAATAACCCATCAGTTTCGTTTTTGTTTTCAACCGTTAACTTTTTTTTAATACGACTAATCTGTTTTATTAACCATTTAAAAATTAACGGGTTTTCCGATCGTTAACGGACTTTTCCGTTAATTTTTGAAAACCACCGTTTCGTTACCGGTTGCTCAGCCCTAGTTTTGACTTTAACATTTAACATTTATTTTTGGGTTTTCAATATCATCTGAATACAAGAGCAAAATGATCATTAATTTTTAAGATTAAGTTCAATTAAAACATTTGTAAAAACTGCGTAAAATATTGATAGTGAACTGTGAAAAACATCAACTTACTTTTTGGCAAAAATACAATAATAACAAATGATCAATTCTACTTATTTAACCTCTACCCTTTCCCCATTCTTTACCCCCTTATCCCCTCCTCCCCCCTTAATCTAAAAATAAATGTTACACTTTATGATTTTCTAAAAGTTTTCAGAAAAAATCATTATATTTTTAAATCATTCCTTTTCTAGCTTTGCTGGGAGGAGTGCACAGATTTAGGAGTAGTTCAGGTAATATTGTAGAAACAATATTTTTTCAAACAATTTATTTCAAAAACATTAATTTTTTTAGCTTTTATTTAAAAACCATAATTTGTTAACAAGCAATACTGTAACCACAAAATATTTGTAAACAAAGAATATTTGAAAACAAGCAATATTTGTAAATAAACAATATTTGTAAACAAAAAATATTTGTAAACTATAACAATATTTGAAAACAAATCATGTTTGTAAACAAACAATATATTTGTAAACAAATTTTATTTGTAAACAAATTTTATTTGTAAACAAATTTTATTTGTAAACAAATTTTATTTGTAAACAAACACTATTTGTAAACAAACAATATTTGAAGCAAGCAAAGTTTGTAAACAAACAATATTAAAAAAAACAAAATCGTATTTGGAAAGAAAAAGAAAACATTATTATTAAAAATTCAGTAAAATCACTATTTTCTTACTTTTGTTCTTAAAATCTTTTAATTTTATCTTTTTCTTAACATTTTAAAGAACTTTTATATATTGGGAACAGCAGCTTTGCACTGAGGCAAATCGGTATTAACAAACAAATTGACAAACAGAGATTACATCTTTATATAGATGATTATTTAGAATGTTGACATCCATGGTTGCAGAAGAAGATCATCTTATCCTTTGCAGCAGGTTTTTTTTTTATACAGTCGGAGCCATGACTAATGAGACAAAGTCATTTTACTTAATAACGCACATTTCAACCGTATCAAAATACATTAGAATCACGTAGAACTAAAAAGAAATTTAAAAAAGTAAATTTCATAAATGATTAATGAAAGATTGAAATCTTTTATGTTTTCAATTATATCACCTTTTCTTTAAGAGGGATTGAAAAGAACATTGATGTTTGGAATCTTCAAAATGTATCCGGAAATGAATCCGGAAATGTATCCGGAAATGTATGCACAAAATTGACTTTGCAGTGGATTGCTTATTCCACAGTTTTATGGTTTTAATACAAATTCTTATCTTATTTTCATCTTATTATTACTAAATTTTTAACCAATATATCGAAAATCTACAAAACAATATAAACGCCCAGTTTGGCCAGGACAGCATAACCTGTTTTTCTTTAAACCTGAGCAAAAAAAAGATGTTTCCCATTACTTTCGACCTCGCGAGTATATTTCTAAAATCTTTTATTTTGTTTTAGGATTTTAAGTGTAACGGCCGAACCGGTCCACCGTGTACGACGTTGAGGTAAACTTAAATAACACAGGTGAAAAGCATCAAACATAATCTTGCCTAGATCGTCGTTTTTAACAATTTTCTCCTTATAGATGCAACAGATAGAAGTAAGATTAATAGCGATCAAAGGCGATTATTTTTCGCTGTAAGCCTATACCCCCTTTCATTTTTCGCGAACGCTCCCTTTTAGTTAATAATCACAAAATATCCAAATTCGGACATTTCCAATGTGATGTCAAAATTGCAATAGATACGAAGACTTCGACAATTTTTTAATGTCTTGAAAAGTTGAAAGCACAAACACTGCAGACCTATATGTTAAACCTGGCAGTACTTGTTGACAGTTTCTCAAATGATTTCATAGATCAACGACGACCTTCAAATCCCCTCTAAACTGTCGTGTTTCGTAGGACACCCTTTAGATGACGGACGATAACGGAATATTCAGCTTTTAAAAATGTGGTCTCGTCTACCGTTCTCGTCAATTTTTTTGACATTTATTTAGAATATCTAACTACCAACAGCATTTTGTTCAAAGTTATCAAAAGATGATAGAAATATCTCACAAAGTCTAAATCCTTATAACACAATGATCCAATGATCTGAGCTGAAACTTTAGAATAGGATATTCTTAATCCCAATCGGTTAATTAATCTGGAGATTAATTACAAGAGGAGAATAAGATTTATTTAATCGGAGACCAAATTTAAAGAATTTAAGCCGCGGCTCAAATTTGGTTGGTTCCACTTAAATGTGTATTAAATTTTTCGAGATTTAAGACGGCGCTCAATTGAAACCAGTTTTTTGGAGATTTTAGACGCGGCTTAGATTCATTAAATTCGGACTTTGGAGATTAAGAAAAAGATGAGATCAAACATTGATCTCAATATCCCCAGTCCCCACCATTCTAAAGTTTTCAGCTCTGGCCAACTTTACGCACAAATCGATGAGCATTTTGTCTTAAAAACTGATGCGACTTTTCATGTTTTTTTGTTTTCTTTTGGTTCAGTCCAGCTGTTCAATATGATTTCGAAGTTATTAATCTACAGGGTGTCCCACGTAACATGAACATTGGTGAATAGTTGCGAATGCTTCTTCCATATACTGTTTTAGATATTTTAGACTTTTTGCAGTTTATTTCGTTACAAAGATTTGTTACTCAAATATATTTTACTTTGAAATCCATTTTACTATGATATGACTGCCATATAATATTCTATCATTCTCTTTGGTATCATACTACGAAACAAATTATGGAAGAAGACATTTTAAAATATTCACCAACTGTCATGTTTCGTGAGACACACTGCATTTCCATGTACATCGGGACACCCAGTGATAAAAAATTGAATGAGGAGAAGGAGACATTTGAAAGAGGAATAGTGAAGACAACATTGATTTATATTTTATTGTTGCAGGGGAGACACAGTGTATCTAGATCTACACTGGAAGGATGAAGGACATCAAAATATAACTCAGGAATAATTTCATAATACAATTCATGAAATGTACTCAACATCTTCTAATACAGTAATTATACTGTAAAACTAGTAGAATATGTTGACAATATTCAAGCAATATTTTAAATTGTATTTTAATTTGCTGTAATACATTTTCATTGAACTATGTATTTATAATCATAAATTGAGTTTAAAAGTAGTGTTTTACAGTTTTCTAGTTCTCTCAGTATAAAAACAATGAGTGATAAGAAAGATATAAAAACTTGGTCTAAAGAGTCCTACTTTACTACCTTCCAATACAGCATGAGACTTAGAGACGATTGTACAGAATTTGTCAGTCTTATTTCTAACTGATATGGCTCCCCGCCCAGCAGATACGTTTCTTTTATCGTTAAGTAGAACCGTGTCCGAATTTAATGAATTTGAGCCGAAGCTTAAATCTGCCAAAAACCGGTTTCAATTGAGCGCTGGCTTAAATCTTGAAAAATTGAATACAAGTGGAACCAACCATATTTGAGCCGCGGCTTAAATTTAAGCAGCGACTCAAATTCTTTAAATTCGGCCTCCGGCCTTCTAACTAACTTCTAAGAATATTTTGAAGGCTGAAAAGTGAAAACCAAAGGCTTATCCTTAGTAAGTAACATAATTCTCAACATCTTCTACGGTTTCTGGATTTAAAAAAGTGTTAAAAATAAATATTTCTTAAAGTTATTGAAACTTATTTCAAATAATAATTTTCAAATTGATTTTAAATGCTCATTAGCCTGTTTTTATCATTATTTAGTAGATTAAAAATTCTAAATATTAATCAATTTTTCTTAATTTATGAAATACAATTTTTTATCAGAATGTTGTGTGGCAGTCAGGTAATTGTTGCATATTTATCTGCTACACTAAATTTAAAGTCGGAAAATGTCGTAATAATGATGATAATATTAATATTTTTGAATTAAGGTTTCTTCGATCTTCCCTGGGTTGGAATGGAAACAGAGATTTGCAAGGAAAAATAATAAAAACCAAAATAATTAAGAAAAAAAGCCAGTCGTTGCAGAGTAACTTCAACTAACACCAGATTACAATATTTCATTTATCTATATAAAGTCGTAATCCCAGTTTATAGGTCCAATTATTACTTATAAACTCCTTGACCGATTTGCCTCACATTGTAATGCGGAATTTTCTAAGTTTGGTTTAAATATTCTAAGTTGGATAAAAACCAAAACTTAATTTCCTTGCAAAGCTGGGTTATCATTATATTCTAGCGAGGGGAAATTCGTGAACACAATTTCCTTCAAATCTGCTGATAAAAAAGGACAATTTTACTTTTTGAGATTTCTTTTATTTATGTTGGGATCGTCCTATCATATTTAAAGATGCAATATATGTCTGTATTCCTCACTTTTCGACGTCCTCAATCTGCGTCCTTAATTCTTACATTTTTAAATTTTATTTTTGTAAAGAACCTGTCAAATCTTTCGTTGGGATGTTTAGAAAGATGAAAATTTCCCTGTATGATAATTGAAAGACTGCAGTATGGTTTTGGTGAATTATATTGACGTACTAAGCTTAGGGGTGTCAGAAATGATTTTTTTTGCATTTTTTTGAAAACGTCTAATAAACCTAAAAAAGTTTAATTTTGATAAAACTTTTTGTTCTGGATGATTACAAATATCTATCTAAAACTTTCTTAAACCGGCATATTTTTTCTATATTCATTTAGTTAAGAGTTTGAGTTAAAATAAGTATTAGTAAATATTGCTTTATATCGAGTAGATATCCTTATAAAATATCGATGTGAAACCTTTCAGAGAGTAGGAAAGATTCTGCGAAAAAAAGTTGCCAAACCAAACAGAATTTTATTTTGAACAAAAATATTTAGAACTTATATAGAAGCTTTTCTGGGTTGCACTTTACTCTAGTTTTGCATTATTTTCATTTTTCATCTTTCTAAACATCCCAACGAAAGATTTGACAGGTTCTTTTAACCAAACCTGGTGTCTAGTCTGGTTACCAGAAAATGTTAATTTCTGCCAAATGGTTTTAGCACAAAACAGACATTTTTTTATTTCAACAAAAAGAGATATTTTATCTGAGAATTATGTTTGTAAACATTGTTTTTATTTCTATTTATTGCAGTACACTAATGGAGGTCAAGGATGTCCGGGGTCTGGAGAGGTGCAGTTCAATAATAATACAGCACAATGCAGTACAATAACAAATACAGCACAGTGCAGTACAATAACAAATGCAGTACAGTAATAAAACAGCACAGTGCAGTACAATAACAAATACAGTACAGTGCAGTACAATAATAATACAGAACAGTGCAGTACAATAACAAATACAGTACAGTGCATTACAATTATAATGCAGCACAGTTCAGTAAAATAACAAATACAGTACAATGCAGTACAATAATAACACAGCAAAGTGCAGTACAATAACAAGTACAGTACAGTGCAGTACAATTATAATTCAGCACAGTGCAGTACAATAACAAATACAGTACAGTGAAGTACAATAATAAAACAGTAAAGTGCAGTACAGTAATAGAACAGTACAGTGCAGTACAATAACAAATACAGTTCAAAGTAATGCAATAAAAAACAGTACATTGCAGTACAATAACAAACACAGTACAGTGCAGTACAATAATAATACGTACAGTGCGGTACATTGAGAATACAGTACAGTGCAGTACACTAACAAATACAGTACAGTTTAGTATAATAATAATACAGTAAAGTGCAGTACAATAATAATACAGTACATTGCAGTACAATAAAAAATACAGTGCAGTGCAGTACAATAACAATACAATGTAGTGCAGTACAATAATTATACAGTTCAGTGCAGTACAATAATAATACAGTACAGTTTAGTACAATAATAATACAGTACAGTGCAGTGCAATAACAAAAACAGTACAGTGAAGTACAATGATATATACAGTACAGTGCAGTACAATAATACTTGTAGTACAGTGCAGTACAATAATGCTTACAGTACAGTGCAGTACAATAATACTTACAGTACAGAGCAGTACAATAATAAATGCAGTATAGTGCGGTACAATAAAATATAAAGTATATAGAGCAGTACAATAATAATACAGTACAGTGCAGTACAGTAAAAATTGAGTACATTGCAGTGCAATAATACAGTACAGTGCAATACACTAATAATACAGTACAGTGCAGTACAATCATAATACAGTTCAGTGCAGCAGTACAATAACAAATACAGGACAGTGCAGTACAATAATAATACAGTACAGCGTGGTATAATAACAAATACAGTTAAAAGTTATGTATAAATTTGACTTTATGTATTTTCTATTTAGTCCAAACGGAAAAGAATAATTATTCGACTCAAACTCTTATTTTCTAATCCTTCCATCATATGAACTATTTGGTTTTTCAAATTAAGTACGGTGAACTAAGGTAAATTGCAAGTATGATATTAAGCACGGTAAACTAAGGTAAATTGCGAGTATGATATTAAGCACGGTAAACTAACGAAAATTGCAAGTATGATAGAAATCTTCTATGTTTTCAATCATAACTCCGTTTATTTAAGAGTTACTGAGAAGATCAGCATGTTTTGAATTTCTATTATGTAATTCACTAATTTGCTTCTCTAACATTTTTTTGTCAAATATAAAACGAGGAGTTATGAGGTCTCAAAGTCGTACCACTAATGTTTACCTTTTTCTCTTTCTTATAAGATTTCTGCTAGAAAAAATAGCTTGAAATATTTACGAGCAAATTGCAAAGATGGGGATTAGAAAAGAAGGGGTTGTTGAGATAATTTCTGTATACAAGCACTAAAGTGTAAATACATATATCTATAAAAACTAAAATATTTTCCTTATTGTTTAGAACGGTGTGAGTAATGTCCAGTTTCCAATACAGATTCTAGACATGTATCCAGCCGGTAATATATAACTTAGTTATCGTTGTAATTAGCCCCTCCCTCCTCACCACCCCGAGTAAACCCAACATATTTCTTCACAAAGACAATCGAATACAGATGTTTGATATTTAAGTGCAACTAGTAAAGGGAGGGGGCCGGGGGGGGGGGTTTAACCCCATAGAGCATTTTATGTATGGAACTTTAAAAGAGCAGAAAAATCATAGTGTTTAAGGGGAGTGACCGGCAATGCATGGTATTTGAACTGAATATATAGTATTTTGGACAAGTTTTTAGGATTCATTTGAGACATATATAAGTCTCTACGACGTATATTTAATGAGTTTGAGTGCAAAGTCGACGTTCAAAATCATGAATTTGGGTGGGTAGGTTTACAGGGTTGGATTTTTTACACATCGTGGAAACCTTTTATATGTCTCAAATGTTTTATATGTCTCAAATGTTTTATATGTCTCAAATGTTTTATATGTCTCAAATGTTTTTTATGTCTCAAATGTTTCATATGTCTCAAATGTTTTATATGTCTCAAATGTTTAATAAGTCTCAAATGAATTCTAAGAAGGTTTTCTACAATACTCCATACTCAGTTCAACCACCATACATTACCAGTCACTCCCTTTATGAAATGATATGTTTTTGTTAATACAAGGGTTACTCACAAAGAATGATACTTCAGAGACGACTGTATGGATTTTTATAATGTATGATTAAGTAATCTTTACAGCCTTATTCTTTGTGGGAACCCGTAACATGAAAACATATATTTTTTTTTCTTGTACTCTAATACACAATGATTTTTTTATCTTTTTTTCATTTATTTCAGCAAAGTTTAACCTATACACTATTTTTCGTAATTTCATTTTTTTCACGTCAAACTAAGGTAAATTTCAGTAATCTATACACTATTTTCCTGAATTTCAATACTTTTCACGTTAAGCTAAAGTAAATTTCAGTAACCTATATACTATTTTCCTGAATTTCAATACTTTTCAAGTCAAACTAAAGTACATTTCAGTAATCTATACATTATTTTTCGTAATTTCAATATTTTTCACGTCAAACTAAAGTACATTTCAGTAACCTGCACATTATTTTCGTAATTTCAATACTTTTCACGTCAAACTAAAGTACATTTCAGTAACCTGAACATTATTTTCGTAATTTCAATACTTTTCACGTCAAACTAAAGTACATTTCAGTAACCTGAACATTATTTTCGTAATTTCAATACTTTTCACGTCAAACTAAAGTAAATTTCACGTCAGATTGAAATGTTAAATGTTTATAATGAAAACTCCTCTTATTAAAGAGTTATGAAGAAGAAAAAACATTTTTTAAAATTCTGATAGACAGCCGGATAAGTTAGCTCTTCTAATTCTTATGCGAAAAATCCTAACTAGTGCAGAGATGCGAGGTCACAAAGATGTAGCAGTAAAGTTGCATAAATTTGACTTTCTCTTTCTGTTTAGATTGCAGTGATTTCATATTCTAAAATAATTTGTATATATTTTTAGGAAAGTATAATCTGAAATGGGAAATACTGGACCGTACGTCCGAAGGAAAAAAAACATATTTTAGATTTAATTCTTCTAAATTTTGTTTGGAACTTTGTAATAAAAGTCAAATATTTTACTTATTCAAGTATTTTCTCTCTTTTAATCTATTGTAGTAAACGAGAACAATACTGACAAACACAGTTAATTCAAAAATATTAGAATAGTTTAAATCAAATATAGACTGAAATATTAAAACTAAATGTTTTTTTTAGGATCTAAAACCCTGGCCTGCTTTCTAATAACTGTAAAAATTATGTAAAATATATATTTTTACAAGTCAACCGTTTTTTTTCTTCAGATAGGGGTTTGAAAAAATAAATATTTCCATCTTTCAAAATAAGGAAGATTTTTTCATCTTGGAAGATATAAATGTACAACTACAGAGATGTTTTAAAGATCTTCCTATTATATAGATTAACTAGGTCGGTTGTGAACATTGGCTGTTCTAAGGTTCTTATGTCATTGAGTACATGTGGTGTACGTAAGTTCTGTAGAGAAAAACAGAAAAACTGATACTGATACTGATACTGATACTGATACTGATACTGATACTGATACTGATACTGATACTGATACTGATACTGATACTGATACTGATACTATTATATTATTATTATCAATTAGGGATGAACACCGCAGAGTTTTATTAGAATAATACTAGTTCTCTACATCTATATCTACTGTCGGGTTCTCTACCCTTTTATGTCATATATCGGCGGTACGTTTACTGGCGTGTAACTTCAAAGGACGGCGGTACTTCAGACTGCTAATGCAAACAGTGGCGGCTTCTTTGAACCGCTTAAATTTAGGAAATCAGCGGTATCTTTCATCTTGTCAGCGCTTCACCAGCTGGAGAGATCAGATTGTGTGCAGGGGTTGGGGTACCTCCCCCCCCTCCTCCTCCTCCTCACCTTCAGGTGTTGGGCCGCGGCTCCTCTATACCCCCTCCCCCCTTCTCCACTACGCCGGTCATATTGCACTACACTAAACACTAAAATCAACCCTCAGTTCTAAACTAAACCCCGAACAGAAAAGACGTCGCATAATTTTGCGGATTTTCCACGAGCTATAAACAAACATGAGAATACCAACGATTGTGAAAATGATGATGCTGTTGATACTATTGGTGTGCGGTGGAGCAGAGTGTAGACCGAGCGTGGATCGATCAAAGAATATGATCAGAAAAAACACAGAGATCAATCGAGAGATCCTTGATAACGATACCGATCGCAAAGTTGCCAAAGTTATCTCCATTGTCCGAAAGAATAACGAACTGCTGAAAGACAATCTTCCGGATGACTATGAAGATATGTACGAGGATTACAACGCTCCTATCATCAATATCAGATTCAGAAGAGCCATGGAGGCAGTGAAAACCAGACTGGAAAACTCAGAAATGGAGGTGGAGGAGGAGGAGGAGGAGGAGGAAGTGATTGATAATAAAACAAATAGTTTGCGAAAACTAAAGAATCGAAAAGGAAAGAAGTCCAATAGATCACTGAGAAAGAGCAACCGAAGAAAGAACAGAAGACAGCGCTTGAGAAACAGAATGAAAAATCTGTCTTAAAACTTTTTTTCTTGTTTCTACAATTTTCTATACTGTGATATTTAAATTTATACCTTATATGCCATATATTATACGTTCAAATACATTCTCGACTAAATTACTTTTTTTGATTTAATCTCGGCTTTTATACTTAGTGTTCACGGTAATATTTAAAAATGTAGAATAGAAATTTTAGAAAAGTTTAGAATACAAATTTTATCTTAAAGAGACTGTAGACGTTATTTTTTAGTGATTTTTCCTTTACAGATTCTCAGCTGTTCACTTGAAAGCTTTGTCTGGTCTATAAGGCAAGATATGTCAATATTTATATCTTTTATTTCTAGAAACAATTTCAGTTTTCAAAAACGAAAATATTTTCACTTGAATTAACAACTACAGTATTTTTAGAATAGAAATAGAAAAAATATTTTAAATGTGATTAGATATAGATTAAATATAGATTAGATATAGATTAGATATAGATTAGATATAGATTAGATATAGATTAGATATAGATTAGATATAGATTAGATATAGATTAGATATAGATTAGAATGATTAGATATAGATTAGAATAGATTAGATATAGATTAGAATAGATTAGATATAGATTAGAATAGATTAGATATAGATTAGAATAGATTAGATATAGATTGGAATAGATTAGATATAGATTGGAATAGATTTGATATAGATTGGAAGAACATGATTTGGAGTTAAAAGAATGGAATTATACAAACGGAAGGAATTGTTGATAAATTGCAAATGGACAAAACCACTGAAATCTGTCTGTCCCTATAAATATGAATATTATATCAATTTTTTGTTTACTATGAAAAGGTGGGATGAAAAGAATTAAATTACCCTGAAAAACTTTTTGATTTTCTTTCAGGCTTACACTTTTTTTATTATTCCAACCTTTATAATAATCAAAACAAATTAATTATATTATTTATATTAAGGAGAGACAGATTTCGGTGGGTTAACCAATTATAAGCTTGCATAATTATATCGTTGATTTTGTGTCTTCAAAACTTTAGATTTCTTTTCTTAGAAATCTTTATTTCTGTCTTATTAATTTCCTCACAGTAAATTAGGGGTCTTGGTTAATAGTCAGTGAACCTTAACTTTAGAACCCATTTTTACCCGTTAAATAATAAAGTTTTTTTTTTGTATTTGATATTTTAAACTTTTTTGTTGGAATATTCTAAATATTAACGTAAAGAAAACTGTTTGAGTTATTTCAACGGATTTGAATTAGAGCTTAGAAGGTGAATATAAAAACGTTAATACAAATGCAGGATGTAAATTAGTTATAATCAAATTAGACTTCTATATCGGATCACGCAGGGGGCAATATGATTATATGTGATCACGCAGGGGGCAATATGATTATATGGGATCGAACTGAAATAGATAGTTTTTAACTTTGTCAACTCTTCTGATTTTAAATTTCTTTCAGTTTAGTTTTAGAATTAGTTTTTAGAAGTAACGTGCTCAAGAACAGTTTCGGAACATCTTTGGTGATTTTAAATTTTTACCGAAGGATAATTTGAAAAAGGAACGTTATTTCTTTTACTAAGCTGATATAATAATAAACTCCTAAAATACAAACTATGGAATAGGCAAACTCCTGAAATACAAACTATGGAATAGGCAAACTCCTGAAATACAAATTACGGAAAAAAACTCCTGAAATACAAACTATGGAAAAGACCAACTCCTAAAATACAAACTATGGAATAGGCAAACTCCTGAAATTCAAACTATGAAAAAGGAAAACTCCTGAAATGCAAACTATGGAATAGGTAAACTCCTGAAATTTAAACTGCGGAGAAGACAGACTCCGGAACAACAAACTATGGAAAAGAGAAACTCCTGAAATTCCAACTGCGGAAAAGACAAACTTCTGAAATTCAAACTGCGGAAAAGACAAACTTCTAAGATACAAACTATGGAAAAGACAAACTCCCGAAATACAATCTATAAAAAGACAAACTCCTGAAATACAAACTATTGAAAAGACAAACTCCTAAAATACAAACTATGGAAAAGAGAAACTCTTGAAATTCAAAAAATAAACTCCTGAAATACAAATTGCGGAAAAGACAAACTCCTAAAATACTTACTGAAAAAAAGACAACTTCTGAAATTCAAACTGCAGAAAAGATAAACTCCTGAAATGCAAACTATGGAATAGGTAAACTCCTGAAATTCAAACTGTGGAGAAGACAGACTCCTGAAATTCAAACTATGGAAAAGGCAAACTCCTGAAATTCAAACTGAGGAAAAAACAAACTTTTGAAATACAAACTATGGAAAAGACAAATTACATTTAGCTTTAAAGGTAAAAATTTAGATGTTTTCTTTTATTCTATGAGAAGTCAGACTTACTATAAGTATTTAAGTAATTAATCTTCAAACCCGAGTTTTTCTATTTGCGAGAGAGAAAACCGTTTTTACCATTAATATCAATTTACAGTAGTTCTCCATGAATATCTTTGATATTGCAACCATCGATTATTTGAACAATCAATTGTAAAAAAAAACATTGAATACTATGAAGTTGTGAGAATAAATTTGTGCAATTTTTATCAATTTTTAAATATAAGATGAAAAAGATATTTTTACGCACATAAAACGTGTGTTTAGTGTTTACAAATTACAACTAATAAAAGATTTGGGCAATTTTCTAAAAGTTCTTTAGAGAGCTTAGTTTCCAATTGAGCAAATTGACAATATATGGTGTTAAAGAATCGTCATTTATTGAGAAGAGTTAAAGCGTAATGTTAAGTAATTCTCTATGCAAAGTCAGCATTACCTAGTTATAACAGTACCTTTGAAACCTTAATCTGATAACAAAGTAGATGACGTATTTGTTAAAAAACTGTTTATTTCTGTATTGTTTCTGAACAAGAAATGCGCAAGTCACTTGTGTAGAGAAACCACAAATATGCTTTTAAGGGTACCGTTGTAAATCTGACATTTCCATCTTTTCATGGAGTGTCAATTGAAATTAAGCGTACCTTCTCTTTAAGCAGTAATTTATTTTATTTTTTTCAAATATTGAAACTGAAGTTGGGTAACTAACGTTGAAGTATAATCAGTTTATTAAAGCTCTAGAAGTTAGAACTATTTAATGGGAGTTTTAGAAGTTGATCCAAGCTTTGAAGTTTAAAGCTATTAGGAAGTACTAGAAGTAGGAGGATTTGTAATAAAAATAGGAGTAGATTCAGATGTAGGAGTTGTACTAGAAATATGAATTGATTCAGATGTGGCAGAATTGTACTAGAAATAGGAGTAGATTCGTTGATTCAGATATAGGAGTTGTAGTAGAAAAAGGATTAGTTTCAGATGTAGGAGTTGTACTAGAAATAGGAGTTGTACTAGAAATAAGAGTTGATTCAGATGTAGGAGTTGAACTAGAAGTAGGAGTGGATTCAGATGTAGGAGTTGTATAAGAATAGGAGTGGATTCAGATTTAGGAGTTGTAAAAGAAAAAGGAGTGGATTCATATGTAGGAGTTGTATAAGAAATAGGAGTGGATTCAGGTATTGGAGTTGAGTCTAATTTTGTCAATTGAGTTCTTATTAGAGTGAATAATTATGACGACTTATCAGTGAGTACTAGGAGTAGTAGTTGGATCAGACGTAGGAGTTGTAGCAGACGTAGGAGTGGATTCAGGTATTGGAGTTGAGTCAGAGTTTGTATTTTTCTTTAGTTCTGAGTAGAGCGGAGGTGAAGGTGGATTAGCGAGGGTTTCATATGCTGGTGGTGGTTCAGATCTTATACTTTCTCCTCCTTAATAACAAAATATATATTTAACCAAAAAATTTTATTGATCTCTGTCATTATTTCATTAGAAGAATGACGCAAATATTTTATTTATAAGAATTGTCTAATTTTGTCAAAAAATAATATTGATCGAATAGTACTATTTAATTTTTGTTTTGTTCTAGTAATTGGTAATGTTTTGTCTCGTTTAAAAAAAAACCTGATAACATTTTTTGCACGTTTAACTTTCATTTATTTTCTCTCCGGGTCAATATTTGTCATAGCGTTTGAAAAGAAATTGTTTATAATTAGCAATTTTGAAAATACTGGCTTCATGCAGAATTTCAAGTTTTGATCATTGGACCAAAAATACTTTAAATAAATCTAAATATCTGTATTAAGTTTTCATTTTAAAAAAACAATGAAATTATCTATAGGAAAAGAAAGAAAAAATTACATAAAATATTTTTTTAATTACCTAATGATTTTTCGTCCTCGCTTTCCATAGCTCTCACATCCGGTGCAAAGGAAACCCTGTATGCAATGGTGGATATCAGAAATTTAAAGAATAAAATATAAAATCTAACATTTTAAAGTATGATATTGGTAAAATCGAAGTAATAACCTAGCATTTTTTAAAGTTTGATCGCAAATGACAGAATGGATTGCGAGCTGACGCAAATTTTTCAAAACATATTTTTAGCTCAATCTAAAAAGTTTTAGAAAAATCTGAAACTTGAGAAAAAATCTCAAAGATTTATAGAAGTATCAAATTAAAAATACTCGAGGTACGGAAAACATTTATTTTATATTATAATGCTATTTTAACACTTCATAATGCTATTTTAACACATTATGATGCTATTTTAACACATCATAATGCTATTTTAACACATCATAATGCTATTTTAACGGTGTTGAACGTAAAAAGCTGTTTAGCAATCAAGAACTTCTGAATTGTATTAAAAAACTTGAAAACATTAATATATATTTCACCTGACAACTCGTTCTGATATATCTAGAACATCTCCAGTTCCTCGACTTGTTATGCTGAAATTCAAAACTTTTATGTTAAAGGGACTGTTAGGGAAATTTCAAGAAACCCACCATGCAAATATAACAATGCTTGATGTACAACAATGCCCGTATATTTTACCTGTTTTGAGAAGCAAAATCTCTATTTTACCTGTTTTGAGAAGCAAAATCTCTATTTTACCTGTCTTGAGAAGTAAAATCTCTATTTTACCTGTTTTGATAAGCAAAATCTCTATTTTACCTGTTTTGAGAAGCAAAATCTCTATTTCTTCTATTCGTCTGAATAAATAACATAATTAGAAAATTAAGAAATGAAAAAACTTTCATAAAAATTATTTAATTTTTAACCAATTAGAATATGGATAAACCTAGAATGAGTAAATTCTTTCAGTCAGGAAATTTGTTGCTTCGGGTGCTTAGTTAGGAATTTCTAGTTTCGTGAATTTCTAGAAAATTTCAAGAAATGCTCAAGAAAGAAATTGAATTATAATCCTTACATCTTTTCATGAATATCTTTGATATTGCAACCATCGATTATTTGAACAATCAATTGTAAAAAAAAACATTGAACCTGTGAATTGATTGCTGTTCTAGCAAGTGAACTAAGGATTTGTCGGGCTCCATGATTTGCTAGGATTTCATTTAATGCCTCCTCCTGTAAACAAATATTCGATTGTACAAGGACCGAATTTTATGAATTTGCGGAGTTGCTGAACCTACCGCCGCGCTGGTTCAAATTTGAATGATAGATTCAAATCCTTCCTGAATCTTTAACTTTGAATCAGTGATTTAAATTTAAACCATCAGTCGTTAATTAATCGACGCATTAAATTCGTATATACCCAGGTTTATAAAAAAAAATCTAAAAATCGAAGATAAATTGAATTATAAAAGAAATTTTTCCGACATTGAATTGTAAAACAAAATTGCACATTCAAATATAGCATTAATAAAATCAATATTGTACATAAACACAATTCCTACAGTAAAAATAACATTGATCATTTGATATTTGATTTATGATTTAAAGTGAAAAAAAAATCTTAAAATAATTAGAAGAATTGACATTTTTTTATAAATTTTTCACCTGTGGTGTTAGTCTTCTTCTTCCCCTCTTGGTCATCACAGATCTGAAAAAAATAGTTCCATTGACTGAGCTTGGCTGAACTTCGCCCGGTCCTGTTGTCATTATATAATTTTTCAACTAAAATCTTAGACTTGTCCCTCAATGACATTTTATGATATCTTACAATTACCCCGAAAAAGAATTAAATCGAAGCAAAAGACAAAATTCCAATAGATTTATATTGTCACATTTTTTTTAAATCTGTATTTTTTAATTTAAAAAATGTGTTACCTTAATGATATGGTGCAAAGTTTATAGAAAACAAAAACGATTGTACCAGCTAAAAACAAGGTGCCTAAAAATAATCCAATTTGGCAACAATTTTAAAAACCAATTCTTTTTTTAAGTTACACAGATGAACTGGGTTTCAAGAACAACTGTTCTAAAATGAATATTTTTATAAAAAAAAGTGCCATTATAAAATCTTGAAAGACAAACTCCTGAAATTCACAAATTAAGATCCTGAAATACAAACTGCGGAAAAATGTGGAAAAGACAAACTCCTGAAATACATAACTGTGCAAAAAGACAACTCTTAAAATTCAAACTATGGAAAAGACAAACTCCCGAAATACAATCTATAAAAAGACAAACTCCTAAAATTCAAACTATGGAAAAGACAAACTCCCAAAATTCAAACTATGGAAAAGAAAAACTCCCAAAATTCAAACTATGGAAAAGACAAACTCCCAAAATACAAACTATAAAAAGACAAACTCCTGAACTATAAACTGCGGAAAACAAACTCCTTAATTCAAACTATGGAAAAAACAAATTTCTGAAATTCAAACTGCGGAAAAGACAAACTCCCAAAATACAATCTATAAAAAGACAAACTCCTGAAATACAAACTATTGAAAAATAAACTCCTGAACTATAAACTGCGAAAAAGAAACTCCTTAATTCAAACTATGGAAAAAACAAACTTCTGAAATTCAAACTGCGGAAAAGACAAACTCCTGAAGTTAAAACTATGGAAAAGACAAACTCCTGAAACTCAAACGGTGGAAAAAGCAAACTTGTAAAATACAAACCATGGAAAAGGCAAACTTTTGAAATTCAAACTGCGAAAAAGAGAGTCTCCTGAAATACAAACTATGGAAAAGACCAACTCCTAAAATACAAACTATGGAATAGGCAAACTCCTGAAATACAAACTATGGAAAAGACAAACTCCTAAAATACAAACTATGGAATAGGCAAACTCCTGAAATACAAACTATGGAATAGGCAAACTCCTGAAATACAAATTACGGAAAAAAACTCCTGAAATACAAACTATGGAAAAGACCAACTCCTAAAATACAAACTATGGAATAGGCAAACTCCTGAAATTCAAACTATGAAAAAGGAAAACTCCTGAAATGCAAACTATGGAATAGGTAAACTCCTGAAATTTAAACTGCGGAGAAGACAGACTCCGGAACAACAAACTATGGAAAAGAGAAACTCCTGAAATTCCAACTGCGGAAAAGACAAACTTCTGAAATTCAAACTGCGGAAAAGACAAACTTCTAAGATACAAACTATGGAAAAGACAAACTCCCGAAATACAATCTATAAAAAGACAAACTCCTGAAATACAAACTATTGAAAAGACAAACTCCTAAAATACAAACTATGGAAAAGAGAAACTCTTGAAATTCAAAAAATAAACTCCTGAAATACAAATTGCGGAAAAGACAAACTCCTAAAATACTTACTGAAAAAAAGACAACTTCTGAAATTCAAACTGCAGAAAAGATAAACTCCTGAAATGCAAACTATGGAATAGGTAAACTCCTGAAATTCAAACTGTGGAGAAGACAGACTCCTGAAATTCAAACTATGGAAAAGGCAAACTCCTGAAATTCAAACTGAGGAAAAAACAAACTTTTGAAATACAAACTATGGAAAAGACAAATTACATTTAGCTTTAAAGGTAAAAATTTAGATGTTTTCTTTTATTCTATGAGAAGTCAGACTTACTATAAGTATTTAAGTAATTAATCTTCAAACCCGAGTTTTTCTATTTGCGAGAGAGAAAACCGTTTTTACCATTAATATCAATTTACAGTAGTTCTCTCAAAATTCAAGAAATTTAGTTTGGTGGGGGGGGGGGGGGGGGATTCAAACGCCTTTTAAGCGTGAAGCACTAACAAACCCGCTTTCAAAAAATTAATATAATGAAGAAAAAAATAATTAAATTGGATTTTTGCCTGTTGCAATTAATATAGTCTGCCATCTGTCAGGATTACTTGTAATATTTATATCTAAATTCAATTTAATCAAATCAAAACTTTTAATCAAAAACATTAAAATATATCTATTCTTTAGAAATAAAAAATGATTTGATATTATTATTCAAAATCTTTTTTAAATCTTCCAAAATTCAAAATGAAACCGAAAGTTGCCACAGTAATATTTTAGCTAGGCTTAGAGAGCTTTAAAAGTTTGATAGAATTAGTGTTTTTTCCTTAGTCTCTCTGAAAAAAAACTGAACAAAAAATATCTTTATTTACATAGAAAATGAACAATTTATTTAACCTTTCTGACAATTATACATTATCAACCTGATGAAAATCTAATACTTAGACAAGTTGCCATATTAAAATTCAAAGATTAAAATATCTAAGGTCTACGTTCTCCGGTTGCATAGATATAATTTGAGTATGAGGAAAGAAATCAGACAAAGAATGTTTTGATTTGTTGAATTTCCTAGATCTCCTGTACTGCTGGCGTTGTATCCATGAATAGTTATTTTTGTGACCGAATGGAAAAGCCCGTTTGACAGAACCTCCGAATTGTACTCTTGAGAGTCGGCCATCTTGGATTTCCCCTGGTAAAATAAATGTACATAAGATATTTAGATATTTAGATGTCATTTTTGACAACCTTCAACAAAGGACGAAAAAACTCACTAAATTTTATGATTTTTTTCTTTATTTTAGTTTTCATCAAGATGTAGCTGTTGAGAAAGTCTTTATTTATTCTGATAAATAAATGATCCATAATGACGATCATAGTGATCCATGGTGATTAGTAGTGTCCGAAAGGGATCAGTGTAGTGATTAAAAGCAAAGAGAATAGAAATTAAAAGATATCAGTAGTGACCAAAAGTGATTGAAAGTGGTCAGTAGGGATCAAAAAATAATAGTAGGAATCAAAGGGATCAGTAGCGAGCAAAAGTGATCAGTAGGGATCAGAAGATAATAGTAGGAATCAAAGGGATCAGTAGTGAGCAAAAGTGAGCAAAAGTGATCCATAGATACCAAGAGTGACCAAAAGCGATAAAAAATTATCAAGAGCGATCAAAAGTGATTAAAACGAATCGATCAAGAGTGTATAGTGTTCCAAGTGATCAATTGTGTTAAGAATATTCACAGTTCACAGTAAAGAAACATGATCCATTTTTGAACAGTGTTTGCTGATAATATAACAGTGATCAATTGTACAATAAAGAGGTAACATCCAAATAAAAGTCACATTTAAAAGTTTTTTTTTTAATCCAAAATTTTGTCAATGAAAACTTTCTTTGCCAAGAATTTTCCCATATTTATCTTCTTAGGACTATTTATCTTTAAGGGAGGGGGGGAGGGGTCAGTGCAATATTCAGAGAAAAAGTCCTTCATCTTCATATTAAAGAAAATGATGACTTTTTTCCTACGCCATATTGTTAATTTAAGACCTTCATTCTGATGTTTTTATGTTCTTATGTCACTTTTTTAACATCATCCTGACTTTTTTTGAATGGATTCGATAGATAAAAGTCGAAAATATGCTTAGTTTATTTGTTAAATCATTACCTACTTGAAATTCAGATTAACCTAAAATATGCTGTCTTTAAAACCCCATTGCTCTGAAAATATCGTTTTATAAAATACTTAAGAAGAAAAAAACTTAAAAGAATATTAAAAGGCAGATTAGGAAAAATATTATCTTCAGATGATGACCTTTAAAATAGTAAAATAACTGTACTTTACAGATTGTTCACTGTTTAGTAATAACTAAAAATTAAACTAATAGTTCTATTTTAAATATAAAACGATTACATCTTGCCAAATGATCAAATTGCGCAAAATTATTTAATTAGGTTAAAATCTGCGAAGAGTGAGCACCAACCAACTGTACAGCTGATAATAACAAAGGTGAATTTCAAGGTGCAGACAGGTAGAAACATGCACAGTCAGTGCACAGATAGATAGATAGATAGATTCTTACGCCGTAGCAGTCTCTGAAGATTTACTAAACATATGGTTGAGGGGTATTTTCAAAAAAATAAAAATGGGATTTTAGAATAAGTGATTTTTTAAAGGGTAAACCTACTAATACAAATATTATTAAAGATTTTCCAGGGTTCCCCCCTCCCCCCCCCCTTCAGAATAAAACCCTGTATATCCTTGACCTTGACAATGATTTATGAAGTAAACATTAAAAAAATCTAAGATCATCACCATCTAACAAAATTTTACTCGATGAACAAATTTTCTTTTTAAAGATGAAACAAAATTCCTGACGGAAAATTTCGCAGAGGTAATCATAAGATTGCTAAAAATACACATAGCAATTATAATGTTACAGGCAAAAAATCTGCAACTATTTTTATATTGTTTACTATATTTATGTAATTGAACCATTTTGTGAGAGATGATCCTATTTGAATGTAGTAATAGCCCTACCCCATAACATTTTCTCGGACAAGTGTGTATCCAGGTACAATTATCAATGTCAACACACGGATACAATCAATTGCAACTATCGATGCCAAATCAAAGGGCTGCACGATCATCAACCTGTTTATCCAAACAGGGAACCACATGAATACAATCTCGTGATATATCGCAATGCCAATACCACTGGAAGAGATCTCGTACATATTAATTCCAAATCAAAGGGCACAATCCTCCATCTGTTTATCAAAACAGGGAACCCTTCTGGTCTCCAAGAATTTTGGATTTAAAGTCTGTATTTTAAACTATCAGAAATATTTCTCAACTCTGCAGTCTTCCTTTCCGCATGGTTAACTTCAACCAATTCTATGACACTCTTGCTGTTTTCTGTTGTCTCATAACTATCTGTGTTGCTGTTTCTTGTTTCCCACATTTTATCTGCTCTCTTGCTGTTTTCTATCATCTCAAAACTATTGACATATGTAGTTTTTAACTCATCTCTATCAGGAGATAACTTTCAATCTAGTACTGCCTTAATTTTTCTTTTCCATTTTGGTTCCTTTGGCATAAAAACAGGCATATTTCCTTCAACTCTGCATCGTACAGTCCCTTTAGCATTTTGTCCTTAAATTTAACCCTGTTCCTTTTGTTTGGAGCATATTCTTGTAACCATAACTCTTCCTTGGCAGCATAATATTATCTGGTATCTTCACTTCTTTCTTGTTTTCTGTCCAGGTATTCCTGTTTCCGTTTCCTCTTGTCTGCATGAGCTCTCCTGGTCTTCTCCTCTTCTGTCTGTTTCTTGTCTAGATATTCCTTTTTCTTGCTCTCATCATATTTTTGTTGTGAGAATCTTTTCATCATTTCTACTCAGAACACTCCTGCTTCACATTTCTCAAATGCTGCTCCCAGTTGCAAAAACGGTAATATCTCTCCTCTAGCTGCTCCCGTGATACTTGAAACCATCATCCTTTTTATATCTTTCTCTGGGATTCTCTCCCAGTATTCCTTAAGCAGAAAAGTTTCCAAGTTTTTGCACCATTCGAACATTATCTCTGGATTTCCATTATATTTGTAAACTCTTTCACTGAAGTCCTCTCCTCTTTCTCTGTACTTTTCTCTATATCACACATCTCGTCGTATGTATCTTCTGTTGCTTCCCCTGCTTCTACTACTCTCTGTATATGTTCCATATGTTGTTCTGATTAATCCATCTCCTTGTTCTGCTCCAACATTCTTCTTATTTCTTGAATCTGTTTTAATGTTTTCCATTCTTCTAGTTCTTTTCTATGTTGTAACTCCATTTTCTCCAATCTTTGCAACAGGACTGCTAATTCTTCGGGTTGAAGTTTTCCATCTTCTCTTCCTGTTTCCCTTCATGTTTGTTCTTCTGATATCTGGTCTTTTATAAAACTGTGTACTCATCTTCTGTTCACACTGTTTACAACTTGTTGCTTTATTGTTCTTTGGAGTCTGTGGCATTTATCCAGGATTCCTTGATTCATGCTGCTGCTATCACTTTTGTATTAATGCCCTACTCCATAGCAGTTTCTCAAACAAGCATCTATCCAAGTACAACTCAGATTCTCTTGAATATCAATGTCAACATACGGTTACAATCTCATAACTATCAGTGACAAATAAAAGGGCTTGATCCTCAACCTGTTCATCAAACAGGGAACCACACAAATACAATTTCATGATCTATCAACGCCACTACCACTGGGCGCGCTCTTGTTAGCTATTGATATCAATCAGAAGCTCGTTACTATCAATTACAAATCAAAAGTCATGATCCTAAACCTGCTTATGAAAACAGGGAACCACACAAATACAATCTCGTGATCTATCAACGCCACTACCACTGGGCGCGATCTTGTAAGCTATCAATATCAATCAGAAGCTCGTTACTATCAATGCCAAATCAAAGGTCATGATCCTCAACCTGCTTGTGAAAACAGGGAACCACACTAATACAATCTTGTGATCTATCAACGCCACTACCACTGGGCGCGATCTTGTTAGCTATCAATATCAATTGGAAGCTCCCAACTATCAATTCCAAATGAAAGGTCATGATCCTCAACCTCTTTATAAAAACAGGGAATGATTCCTCTCTTGCAGTAAACAGTACGGAGTTTCTATATGAACTAGTGTATTTGAGGTTTATATGTTACAAGTTAAAGCTAATAGATGTAACTACAATTCCTACGTTGTTATTTACATCACATGATAAAGGCAATCAGATTACGTATTAAAGCACATTTAAAATAGGTGTTGTTAAGATGTACGTCATTATATATATCACAGGATTAAGCTAATCATGCATTATGCTACATATTTATTTGAAGCGCAGTTCAAATGACTAATGGTTTTACAAAGAAGTTTACAAACATAGATAGTTAATAATGTACAACCTACTGCACCTATACAGAATATTGTGTTACCTGATATTTATTACATGAATAGAATTTTTTACCAAGGGGTTTGGGATTAAATTATTAAAAATTATTCCAAATTCAATAGTAAAATTTTTGTGTTTATTCTCATGTCCAGAAATATTTCTTTTTCTTTTTTGAGCTTCATTAATAACCGAGTCAGAGAACGAGTTGAACTCATTTAAATCTATTTAAACCATGTTCATCTTATTCAAAAGGTCTTGACTCTCAGCCTCTTCAAACAGTTAATATGATATTCACTTACACACTTTGAGTCTGATGGATTCATTTTTTGTTCTTGGATGAATTAAATTATGTTAATATTAAAGTTATTCATTTTATTTATTTGTCATTTTTTTTGGTTATTCGGAATGCTACATATATAAACAAGAAATGTGACACCAATTACGTTATGAAATACTAATGCATGGATAATTTATAAAAGTAATTAATAGAACATATAGTTGTTAACAATGGTCTAAAATTACATAAAAATTATAATTTTGTCTGTGTTACAATACAGTCATATGATAGATTTCGTACATAGTGATCCTTTTTAGAAATTGCAAAGGAGTTGACATTTTCTTTATTTGGTTTTCAACATAAAGTGAAAATTTAAAATTTAGTGCTTTCAGTGCTTTTACATTCATATCTAAATGTTGGGCCCAATCGGTTCAGCCGTTTGACGTTTATTGGACACAAACCAACAAACGAAATATATGTATTGAACATTATAGATGTTTAATCTGTAGTGTGGTTGAACGGTTCAGCCGTTTGACGTTTATTGGACACAAACCAACAAACGAAATATATGTATTGAACATTACAGATGTTTAATCTGTAGTGTGGTTGAATCATTATTGCAATTGTTTCTGTACATCTTTATAATTATTTTGATTTTCCCTTTAAAAGTGGACTCACTCAACTTAGAACATTTCCGTGGTTCTCCCGAGTTCCTCAATCAAAATTTGAGACAAATCGGTCAAGACGTTCATAAGCTGTGTTCGGACATCAAATCAAATAAACAGAGATTACAATTTTATATATATATTAAATAGATTACATATTGTATATATACAGATATATGCTTCTTAAAAAAAATGGAAACCTAAATTATTATTTTCTAATGCATGTTATACAAATCAGAGCTGTTTAACGATAATAATTATTTATGACGTGAATATTTTTGTTCGCAGTCTTTTGACAGAAATTTTCTCTTTATCGAGAAGTTTAACAAGTTTATTAAACATTGTGCCAAAATAATAGTGTTTTATGAAATGAACTTGATCATAAACTGAGAATAAATGTTAAAGTACATAATAGTTTTTAAAAAATAAACTTATTATAATTTTCAGACTAAAAATGCGGCGTATTTTGCGCCTAGGTTTTTGTATTCTTCTTTGTACTTGCACCACCTCTGGTAATAGTAATACCAATGCAGAAACTGCTGAGCCGAGACTCATAGATAATCCTGAATTCAACAGCAGATCTGACATGAATCTGGGACCTGCATATATATGGAGCAATAGTTCGGAAGCAAATTCCTCCCTTGCTAGCAGTAACTCAGATATTGCTGATGCTCCAGCAGCAATTAACAGTTCTAACATTGCTTTAGACAAATCAGATACAAACACCTCCACTAACAATAATGATCTTGCTCCAAACAGGAGATCTTATGTCTCTCAAAATCAACCAGATGCGTCTGCAAATTACACAAGTGAAAATGGAACAGATGAAGCTGCAAACATTAACTCTGAAATCCAGCCAGATCAAACAGTAAATACAAACAGTTCGAACCCCTATGCAAATCAACTTTCGGATAGTGAAAACGTTGGTACTAATGCATATGATAAAAACAGCACCGAAGTTAATTCAGATGCCGATGATATTGATAGAAATGATCATGTGGACAGTTCTGAGATGAGTACAGACACTATTGTCACACCTGAACAAATGCCCAAGCCTGTGCTAGCCAAAACAAGGTACATGATATAAAAAGAAGTTGCCCCTTAATTTGAATTTCTACTTTTTTAGTTTTACTTTAGAGGATGTTATCCGCCAAGAAAATGAAGGTAAGCTTAATGGCGTAAATAATTAAAGGGACTGTTAAAGCGTACTTTCAAGTTTCCCTCCCTGCAAATATGGCAATGCCCGATTCACAACGGTACCCTTTAAACCTTTATCTGATCAAAACTGTTGATCTTGCCTTTTTTTTATAGAGCTAAATCTGTCTCATTCTAAAAATTCATTAACATTTTCTTACAGTAGAAATGCGCAGCGCAGGTCACTTTTGTAGAGAAACCACATTGAAAATAATTAGTTTTCAAAATCATTAACATTAAAATCTAATTCTTATTTGATCAGACAAAACTTTTAAGTATATCGTTGTAAATCGGACATTCCCATCTTTGCATGGAAGGTGACTTAAAATTACGCGTACAGTCCCTTTAAAATCATTACAGATTTCTAAAATGTTTTCTTTTTAATCAAAAGATTTTAATTTCTTTTGCATTCAAATATAGATTAGGTCTTTGCTTTTAACTAAAAATAATATTTCTTGAATAACGTTTGCAACAACCTCCCCCCCCCCCATTATTCATTTTTGTAAAATTTTGTTTGTCAGCAAAATATTTTATTGAAAGCATGAGCGGATACTTGGATGTATACAGGGGATAACCACCTCCAAATTTTCTCTCAATCTTCCGTATAGCTCCCACGAGGGAGGGAACCCCCGGACGCCATGAGCCTCCTCTATGCAGACACGAGCCTCCCAGAGTTGCTAGGCAGCCCAAGGCTTTGTCTGCAGAGTGGAGGCTCGGTCTGCCTTGCGAATCTGGGAGGCTCGATGTCTGCATAGCAGAGGCTCATGACGTCCGGGGGTTCCCTCCCTAATCCCAACTTAGAATTGGCCAATTTTCCATGGGTGAGTCATTGTTTCATGGCTCACAAATATAGATGTCCGCTTCTGATTGTATGAAGACATTGTTTTCTCTTAACATTAACTCCTGCACCGTTTTTTCCTTGATATTCTATCCCTTAAAGGGACCGCTAGCGTAATTTCAAGTGATCCTCAATACAAAGACGACAATGGCCGATTAACATCGTAACACATGAAAGGTTTGTCTGATCAAAGATAAATTAGAAATCAATGTTTAAAATTAATAAAAAAATGATTATTTTCAATTGTGGTTTCTCGATACAGAAATGACTTGCGCATTTCCACTGCAGGAAAAAATAAATGAATTAAAAACTTTTAAACCTAGAAAAACTGCAATATCTGATTTTTGATGAGCAGAACATTTCAAGGGTGCCGTTGTGAATCGATCGGGCATTGCCATCTTTGCAAAGAGGGTCACATGAAATTACGCGCTTACAGTCCCTTTAAAAATCAACGTTTGAAATTTAAAATCACAAAGGATGATATTTCAGAGGAGAAAGAACTTGCTCGAAAAGTATTTGAAGATATTGTAGAAAAAGGCGAAACTAGGGAAAATACTAAATTTAGATTGTTTAAAATTGAATATATCTTCAAGAAAAAACTAAATATTGAAACTATACAGATTCCTTCCCGATCGAGATTTACGCAATTTTAATCAAACCATCTGCCATTTTTTGTATTGTGTACGATTCACAACGATACCCTTTTAACTCTTCGAAAGATATTGTCTTATTTCTTTCTTGAAAAGTGCAAACGCCTTAAAATATCTGACAATTCCTAAAATAATCAATTTTCTAGTAGAAAAAAGATATTTCTTTTATACACTTGAAAAAACAAAGATTCATATAGGGAACCTTTGTGTTTCGGACACACTGCTGTATATATAAGATTCATTTGAAATTGCGAAATCAGTTCCTTAATATCGACATCAGTTCCTTAATATCGACATCAGTTCCTCAATATCGACATCAGTTCCTTAATTTCGACATCAGTTTCTTAATATCGACATCAGTTCCTTAATATCGACATCGATTCCTTTATTTCGACATCAGTTCCTTAATATCGACATCGATTCCTTTATTTCGACATCAGTTTCTTAATATCGACATCAGTTCTTTAATTTCGACATCAGTTTCTTAATATCGACATCAGTTCCTTAATATCGACATCGATTCCTTTATTTCGACATCAGTTTCTGAACTTCGACATCAGCTCCTTAATATCGAAATCAGTTCCTTAATATCGAATGAGTTCCTTAATATCGACATCAGTTCCTTAATTGCGACATCAGTTTCTTAATATGGACATCAGTTCCTTAATATCGACATTAGTTCCTTAATATCGACATCAGTTCCTTAATATCGACGTCAGTTCCTTAATTTCGACATCAGTTCATTAATTTCGACATCAATTCCTTTATTTCGACATCAGTTTCTTAACTTCGACATCAGCTCCTTAATATCAACATCAGTTCCTTAAAATCAACATCAGTTCATTAAATTCGACATCAGTTTCTTAATATCTACATCATATATAAGATTCATTTGAAATTTCGATATCAGTTCCTTAATATCGACATCAGCTCCTTAATTTCGACATCAGTTCATTAACTTCGACATCAGTTCCTTAATATAGACCTTAGACCTTAGTTCCATCATTCGACATCAGTTCCTTAATTTTGACATTAGTTCCTTTATTTCGAGATCAGTTCCTTAATTAAAGTTTCTAATAATATTTTCCTGTTGCAATCAGTGTTCCCTCGGATAAGTTCTATCAAGCTCTGATGGAAGTTGCTTTAAAAGAACAGCAGAAAAGTTTCAATATAAAGGATAAACTAATGGTAACTTTTATCCATAGATTCATAGATAACCTAAGTAGGACAAACTAATGACAACTTTTATTCATAGGTAACATAGTTAGACAAACAAATGGTAACTTTCAGATAACATAGAAAACAAAAAAGGACAAACTATTTGTACCATTTATCTATAGATGCATAGATAACAAAGTTAGGACAAACTAATAGAAAATTTTAACCATAGATTCATAGATAACATTGTAGTTAGGAGAAGCTACTGGTAAATTTTATTTATAGATTCATAGATTACATAGTTAGGACAAACTATAAATGGTAACTTTTATCCATAGAAACATAGATAACATTGTTAGGACAAACTATTGTTATTTTTTATCCATAGATTCAAAGATATTATAGTTAGGACAAACTAATGGTATCTTTTATCTATAGATTCATAGATAACATAGTTAGGACAAATCACTGGTAACTTTTATCCATAGATTAAAAGATAATATAGTTAGGACAAACTACTGATAACTTTTATCTATAAATTCATAGATAACATATTTAGGACAAACTACTGGTAATTTTTATCCGTAGATTCATAGAGAATAGTTAAAAGAAACATATGATAACTTTCATTCATAGATTCATAGATAAAATAGTTAGGACAAACTTTGAAATCATAGATACATAGATTACATAGTTAGTACAAAATACTGATAACTTTAATCCACAAATTCATACACAACCACGTAAGGACAAAATTCAAAATTGAATGATTCTTAATTGTTAAAGGATTTATTTGCGGAAGAAGAAAGTGGCACAAAAACAGCTACTCTAGAAACAGGCACAACTGGTGAAGAAACTGACACAACTACTGTAGAACCTGGCACAAGTGTTGTAGAAACTGGCACAACCGCTAGAGAATATGGCACAACTGGTGTAGAAACTGGCACAACTGCTGGAGAATATGGTACAAGTGCTGTAGAACCTAGCACAAGTGCGGTTGAACCTAATACAAGTGTTGGAGAAACTGGCACAACCGCTGGAGAATATGGCACAAGTGCTGTAGAACCTAGCACAAGTGTAGTAGAGACTGGCACAACTGCTGGAGAATATGACACAACCGCTGGAGAGTCTGGCACAACAGCTGTAGTATATGGCACAGCCACTGTAGAACCTGGCCCAATTGCTGCAACTTATGGCGTTACCACTGGAGAAAATGGCATAACTGGGGGAGATTATGGCATTATTGCGACAATATCTGGCACAATGACTGAACAAACGGACAAAAACAATGAAAATGAAATCAATGAGGAGCATGCCAGGTATTTTTTCTTTACACAGGGATTCCACCGGAAGCAAAGTTCGAAAATTTTGCCTGGAATTTTTGCACGGAAATTAATTTTTCGGAAGCAAGCGCAAACGTTCAGCGCCGAAATACTGCGTACATCATCACTATATATACTATAACCTCCTTGGTATAGTGCCCATTAAGCCGATTTTTTATACTTTATTACAGAGTTACACAAAAGCAAGACGTTATAAGACAACTGCTTGCATGAATTATGTTATGAACTGTTTTACTTTATGAACATTTTTAGATTTTATTTTACTTAAATGTAACAAAGCAAAGTTGTAAACATTTTGCATTTTATAATTACTGGCGTTGCCCGTGCTTATCAGACTTTAATTTGTGTGGACCTCAAAACATATTAGAACTTTTTCTGGAACCGAATTGAATAAGTTTGAGCTAGGTCACTAAACTTTTTACCGTCGATTCAAACACTTATCTGTAGTTCTGAACTTAAACCGTTCTCTCTTTGCCGCAATAATTTCACCAAATACAGATTTTCCTCATCTATATATAAATTTGGCTTGTCTGTTTGTCTGTTTGGGTGTCTGTCTGTTTGTATCCAATAAACGTCAAAACAGCTGAACCGATCAGGCCCAAATTTTTTGTGGGACATCCAGGGACCCCAGGGAAGGTTTATGAATGATTGAAATTTCAAAAATTTTTCACAATTTAAATATCTATATATAAATTTGGCTTGTCTGTTTGTCTGTCTGTCTGTTTGTATCCAATAAACGTCAAAACGGCTGAACCGATCGGGCCCAAATTTTTGTGGGACATCTAGGGACTCCAGGGAAGGTTTAAGAATGATTGAAATTTTAAAAATTTGTGTTTTAGAGGTTTTTAATTTTGTAAAAAAATTTTAATTTTTGAAAATCCGCAAATTTTTTTTTTTAAATCCGCAAAACTTTTTTCATCTTTGTTTTGAAATGTAAACAAAAAGAACATGTTCACAATTTAAATAGAAGATGGGCGTGAAGCGCCCTAAAACCCTAGAAAGAAGGGCGCGAAGCGCCTTGAATTTCTAGTTTAGTTAAAAACCTAATACAGAGTTACCCACAAAAGATGAGACAAATAACGATTTGAGGGTTTAATTTGGTGTATCGCCTTGAATTTTGTCTTCTTTTGGTAAAATATATTAGTTGGAAAAATAAAAATCCTGTAACGTGGTTGCAGGGCCTCATGAATATATTAGAATAATAAATAAATTCTGTATACAGCCGTCTCTGAAGTCTTATCCTTGTGAGTAACCCTAGTGATATGAATTGGATGATTATAAAAGTCGTCTTCTTCTGATTTTTTCAATTGATGAATTAAAGGGTACATTTGTAGGGTAACCCACCCTATGCCAGACCCTAATACAGTAGCAGAGTGGGAAACTATCCAGGATGAAAACATTTACAATATTCAGGTAACTATACAGCGGGACCTGTAAACCAGTGAATAGGAAGACGACATTAAAGCAATAATTAAGTGTATTTAATGTTGTAACAAAGCAAATAGTTTTACTAGTAACTTATTGTATCACTTGACAAATTGAATAAGTCTGTTTATATGGCACAGGTCATGTTCATTGTACTATTCAAAGTCATGGCTGGAGACTGGAGTCTATAAGTCGTCTTCCTATTCCAGAGTTTTCGGGCTCTCTCTGTAAGGACCTGTTAAACGGTGGAAAAGGAGGATGACAGTAACAAAAACTTAAGTTATGATTTTAAAAAGTTCAATAACATGCAATAAAGCAGTAGTACAATGCCATTTCCCTAATAATTTGATTTCCAGGCCACTGGTAAATTAATTGCTTTATAACAACATCAAAAACTCAAAAACACTAATTAAACGTTCTTCTCCTATTCCAAAGTTTCAGAGGGTTCAAAAAAGATTAGTCTTACATTTTTTAGATCAAGCGGAATCCAAAGTCGTCTTTGTAATGTTATGTAATATTAAAAATGCAGCAACATATTTTGTTTTTTTAATTTAATAATATATATCTATAAATGTTTGATTGTCAAGATACAAAAAATTATAAAAATTACAAATTACAAAATTTTTAGTAAATATTCTAAACAAAAAATCTAATAAAGACGACTTTTCTTCCGCCTTTTTCTGGTTATAACATATTCCTTACGTATTTCTTTATTCAAATTTGTTTTATCTTTTTGACTATTATAGATAATTAGGCGTAATTTCAAGTGACCCTGCATTTAAAGAGGGGTACGCTTCATTCACAACAGTACCGCCTCTTTTTACCTTTGTCTGATCATTGATGACAGAGTAATCCGTGTATTTATCTTTAAAATGAGGTTTGAATTTCGTTCTCGAAAATCCTTAATATTCTATGTCCAAAGCTGTTCAAAAAAATTTGAAAGAATTTTTCTTCTGCAACCAAGGGTACTATTGTGAATCTGAAACACCACTATGCAATAGAAGGTCACTTGAAAATACGCTTACAGTACCTTACAGTTCCTTACAGTTCCTTACAAATCCGCCAAATTTCAAAAATGTTGTTCAATGTTCATGTTAGAAAAATTTCTTGAATTTTTGTGGACTTTTTTTTAATAATTGACAAATCATAAATAAAAAACATAATAACAATTTGTTATTGAATATATGTACATTGTTTACAATGTACATACGTCGGATGGTATCAGGATCTATTTTGTATACAATATACTTAAATGCCACAGATTTGTAAATTTTTGTATAAATTAATAGTTTTAAATAAAATCTGCAGTTTTAAATCAAAATAAATATTTATAAAATGATTAAGGCCGGAAAAGAGAGTACCAGAGGTAACGATGGATTGTAGAAAAGGTTTGTTACATTTTTTTACCACATCTTAAAATATTAAATGTCGAAACTTGAAATTGGAAAAAAATTGATATTGATAATAACTATTTAGAACATTTTATTTTTGTTCGCAGTGCTATAAAGTTTTGGACAGACATATTTTCTTTATAACAAAGGTTCAAGCTCGGGACAAAATATAATCTAAAAAGAAAGAACCTTCGAGATAAAGAGAAAATGTGAGTCCAAAAACTTTATAAACTTCGTGTTATTTTAATTCACTTTTCTCTAACTGTTAATTTTGTATTTTAATGAAGCTGAGGTCGGATTTTTTTTATATTTAAACTACGGGAGGTATGCCGATTTGAACTATAGGATAAGTCCTGCGAACATGAAAGTTTCGAGACGACTTTAAGGTGGTCTTTGACTTTTAAAAAAGGCATTATTTCGTAAAAAAGAAATAAAGTTTGAATTATTAATTAGTACTGATATTTCTAAAATAAAGCTTGCTTTTTTGACCTTATTCCTTGAAATATGAAAAAGAAAACTCGAAAAATTGTTTTTATTTTTGTTAAATTTCCCAGAAAAGAACTTTATCTATTTGTGTCAGGTTCAACTGCTTATTTGCTAGTCATAAGATCCGACCTTACGCTTTGCAAACTTTAAACTTTTGCATCATGTTTTAAAAAGAGCGAAGGCCTTATTAATAATATTATTCATATATGCCACTCTTTTTCAGGGGCGGATACAGGATTTAAGTGAGGGGGGGGGGGGCAAGATTTTTTTAGGAAAATTTTTTTTGACTTAAAAGACTCAAAAAAAGTCAAAATTAATGACTAAAGACTAAAAAATTAGATTTTTAACTTTTCACACATTATAGTTTATTAAGACAGATATTTTTCCTGTTTTGCACTAGGGTTTCTTTCCCTTAAGCATGCTATTGAGAAGCTATTCTGAAAATAGGAACAAAAAATTCCAAATTCAGGGGGGGCTACGACCCTCCCTGAACCTGTCAGGGGGGGCGAATGTCCCCCCGCCCTCCCCTGTATCCGCCCCTGCTCTTTTTCATCTTTCTTTTCTATTCAGAGCCAAAGTATGTATCCATAATTTTTAATATTTGTATTTAAAGACTATTTATAAATAAATTATCTTTAAATTTTAGGTTGAGTTAATGAAATTCGTACTGGAAGAAATATTGTTATATTTTAAAACAATTATGAAGTTTTATTTACGCAAATAAATGATCATTACATAAATACTGGAGGTCAAATACACTAATACTTGAGGTCAAATACATAAATACTTGAGGTCAAATACATAAATACTTGAGTTCAAATACATAAATACTTGAGTTCAAATACATAAACACTTTAGGTCAAATACATAAATACTTGAAGTCAAATACAGAAATACTTGAGGTCAAATACATAAGTACTTTAGGTCAAATACATAAATTCTTGAGGTCAAATACACAAATACTTGAGGTCAAATACATAAATACTTGAGGTCAAATACATAAATACTTGAGGTCAAATACACAAATACTTGAGGTCAACTACACTATAAATACTTGAGGTCTAATACACTACAATATTCGAGGTCAACTACACTGATACTTGAGGTCATATACATAAATACTTGAGGTCAAATACATAATTTACTTTATTTTAACGTGAAACAAATCTCACCAAACGAAACATGTAAAAATATGTTTGATGCGGGTTTAACAAAGCGTCTTTGCAACGCAAGGAAACGTAGCTTGAAGTGACTTTTCTATTCATATAGAATGGCATGTCTGATTCACACAGACACTCTGTAAACCGTAAATCATCAATGACTAAGTCATCATTGATTTTCCGACAGACAGTTGAGTGAATGAAAACTCAAGTTTTCCGGCACTTAATTTCAAGCTAGAAAAATAAGAATACCTCCATCATCCTGGATCAGACAAATATATAAAGGGTGACGTAGAGAATGGGACATGCCTTTCTATTAGTGGCACTTCTTATTTTTTTTTTTACTTTTGTAGCAGTGGTGAAAAGGGTTTTACTTTATTTTAAAACCAAACTATAAAGATTTAGTTTAATGAGCCGTCTTTACTTTACGATCGTTAAGTGAATATGGGGGGTTGAAAAAGGGGTTGNCACATGTATTTTAACCCCACATGCGAAAGATAGATTAAAGAATGTGCTGAAGAACCAATGGGTTGGAAATATTGTAAAATTGACAGAGAGAAACTATATAAACATTCCTCTGTGTATAACTATAATGCCTGTACACCCTTCACAGTTCATGAAAATATTTCTATTGTTTCAATACATATATATAGGTTAAACTAGTGTGTTCTAAATAATTGATATAAATGTTTTATTTGGTTTTATTTTTAAACAGAACAATCTTTTAAGATGTATCAAAATCATAATTTTAAAGAAACCGTTCTAAAATGTAAACTTTTTAAAATTTTTTTGTACACTTTTAATTTAAACAGTTACATACGATAAAAACATGTAATGAACAATTATAGTACCCTGAAACATGTGTAGATTTTTAGGGGCGCTTTCTAGTAACATTTTTTTCAGAATTTTTGGTTAGCATTGATTGATTTCAATATTTGTTAAAAAAACGACAGTTTTTAGTAAAATTTTTTCTTGCAATTAAGTTTTGATCAAAAACAATACGTTTTCTAAGTTTTGTGTGTAATGTCCAGGGGGAAGGGAAAATGCTAAGATGTTTTGAATCTATGAATCTTTGTTATTTTAACTTCCCTTGATCACTTCGTGACATATCCTGCACAATGCACAGTTTGACATTAGGTAGAACATTGTGCACACAAATATCTGATTAATATACAGGGTGTCCCATATCATATTAGATCGTCCATCAGTCAAAATTACGATTTTCGGGACTAATCTGAAAATTTAAGATGAAGGAATTGTTTTGAAAAATTGAATAAGGCTATTATGTATTATGGGTTTATTTTGACGTTAAAACTTGGAGATAATCGTATATGATATGGGACGCTCTGTACCTGGACAGACAATTAAAAAGAGTAAAATCGTAAAATCAAACTCCCGAGTTTCATTTTAAGGTCTAGACATTTGTAAATCTATAGATTTTAAAGAATTAGAAAATGAAAAATAATACAAGATTAACGTTTAAAATACTATTTCAAACTAGAAAACAAATATTTACAATTCATGTAACCCGGGTTCCGATACAAGGTTTTATGAGTCATGATTATGACGATACTCTGATTACTATACAGATATATTTCTACAAATAGCAAATAAATTAAACTATATCAAAACGGGTTATTATCAGCACTTTTCTTTAGTAAAAGTTACATCTATAAACCTGAATACAGTGATAACCGGAATACTCTGGAATATTAAGACGACCTTGAGAATCAAGTTTTAACTTTGAAAAGTTCAATAACTATGAAACACAGCAATTGTGCAGTGTAAATAGACCCGTTACACAAAAAAGTGATGTTAGAAGTGTGAAGTAAAACTATTTGCTTTGTAAAAATCAAATACACTAAGTATTGCTATAATGTCGTCTTCATACTAAATTGTTTTTTTTTAAACTGTATTTTTGCCACAAACTTAAATTTTCTAATACCTATATCGTTGCAACCTGTTACCTGGTCGTGTAAATGATATTTTAAGCTTATACTATTTGAATCTAACAGAATTAATAGTTTGAAATATTAAAGGTCTATGCGTATTGCGTATATGATATTAAAATCAGAGTTCCTATACGAGTGAAACCAAGACGGAGAGGAATTTTTAGCTGAGAAGAAAATAAATTATTGTAAATCTGGTCTGAAAACATTTTGTAAATATGCGCACGCACGCTTGGGAGGGGGGGGGGGTCGGGTTCTCTGGCACCGAGGAGTGGGTTGGGGAGGGTATTTTATTTTCCCCCTTAAGAAATGTTAAATATCAAAGTCACAGCTTGCTGAAACAATGATAGAATTGTTAAATCTGCGTGTACCGTGGCTTACAATTTAATATTTTTCTAAAGAATTTTAAATTTAGAATCTGAATTTATGATTTCCATATTACTCCTGTGATGGTCGGTTTTCAACGTGTTTAATGACCTGAAAACCTCATTAAAGGTTATTAAAGCAAGATGAGATTTTTCCAATTTAAAGACAGATTTGAAACAAGAAATCAAACAGATATATTCTTAGGCAATATGTTCTGTATTTTTATTTAATTGTTGGTTGTTTTTATCGGACAATGAGGAAGTCGTCAAACGAGTTCTTGTTGAAGATTTAATGGTTTTCAAAAGTACACATAAGCTTTAATTTTTTTAATTATTAGAACGATAAAAAAATGTGTCGATATCAAAATAATCAAAAATTTTGCCAGAAAGCCGATATTTTTGTACATTTTGTGGATTTTATAAAAATTTTAGTCGATTAAAGATTTAATTAAAATGGCTCAGTAACATTATGCCTAGTTCCCGAATGCCTAGTTTGTGAATGCCTAGTTCACTATGCCTAGTTTCCGAATGCCTAGTTCATGAATGCCTAGTTCACTATGCCTAGTTCATGAATGACTAGACAACATTATGCCTAGATTTTCTGAATACCTAGATAACATTATGCCTAGATTTTTGAATGCCTAGATAACATAATGCCTATAGAGAACACAATGCCTAGATTCATGAATGCCTGAATAACAGTATGCCTAGATAACATAAGAGTACATTGAATGCCTAGACAATGTATTTCAAAGAGAAATAAAAATATTAAAGAGAGAAAAAAACATACAATCCGGTAACATTTTTACAAAAATTCTCCAAATGTCTGGCATATTCAGGAGCTGTTCATCAAGCAGGATGCTGAGGTCAGAAGAGCCTACTTATCTAATGCTGTTGGTCAGGACATGACAACCAACACTGGAAGAAAACAGAGGTCCCTGGATGCAAGATAAAGATTAAAGTTTGTTGTTGATGCTTTTGACAGCATGCCAAGAGCAGGTTATATTTCTACTTTGGCCCATGATAGGCAAAAATTTGACCAATAAAATATGTAATAAATCATGTAAACATATCAGTATCATTTATCTATTGCTTGACAATGTCTATAGGCATTCAATTCAGTCTAATGTTATCTAGGCATAATGTTTGTTAGGCATTCAGAAATATAGGCATAAAGTTATATAGGCATTCATGAATCTAGGCATGGTGTTATCTAGGCATAATGTTATCTAGGCATTCGGAAACTAGGCATAATGTTCCTGAGCCATTTATAAATAATACTAATAATTTTTATTTATTACTTTATTATTTTAAAACTAACAGCACACATGTATTTTAACCCCACGAAATTTACTAGGATCAGTTTTTGTTGTTGACAAAGCGCTTTTGATAATTCTGACAGAAGGTGTTGATCTAAAATTTTAGCCCTTAAGCATTTCTATAGATTTTATAGCTGTAAATTTTCTCATTTTCTCGTGCCGGTTTGAACCAAGATTTTTAATTTTCAGAGAAGCGCACGAAATTTCAATTATTTTACAATAATTTTTCAAAAATCTGAAATTTATAATGATTAAAATTGACCTGAGGGCAGGAAGATATCTTACGCGGTATAATGTATTCAACACAATTACATAAATATTCTTAGAATAGATTGCTTTGGAAAAATATAAGGCAGTTATTTCTATGTTCATCAGTAAATGACCGCGTCAATGGATCTAAATTACGATTTGGCGGACAAATCAGAAACTTTAAGAAAAATGAATCATTTTGAAAAATTTAGTAAGGCTAATAAAAATTTTATCATGCAGATATGCTACATATTTCGAGTATTATGTGCGTATTTTGGCGTTAAAGATTGGATGGAGATACTCTAATATGATATGGAGTGCTCTGTACGTTTATTTAAGACATAGGGTTACCAACAAAGGATGAGACTGTAAAGACGACTTAAAACTCTTCAAATTTAAATTACGTCTATTGCATGCCTTGAATGTGGGCTTTAAATGGCTAATTTAATGATTGAGCAAAGAAAGAAAGAAGTTTTCAGTTCCATGGAATCCGTACGGTCGTCATTGAATTGTATCATCCTTTGTGGGTATACCCTACACACTATACTGTACATCTTTAAATCCACCTTACGTTTTATATAATTTATAATACTAGAAAAATTAACGTTAAAATATCCGATAAAGATTATTTTCTGTTCTTAATCTGTATAGTAATGTAATTTCACATTTAAGTGCTAATTTTCATTAAAAAATCCCATTT